TACAGTATGTGATTATCATTGTGTCCCATCGTGCTTGTGATTGCATCTGGTTATTAACTCTTTAAAGGTTTGGAAGCTGAAAATGCTTAATCTTCTGGATTGCAAGCGAGCCCGCTCACTCCCCGACCTTCACGCAGACTGTTTTAGAATGTGAGAAATGCACCTTATGGATTTTACAGCCAGTGCTCTTCTGTGTGCTTGACACTTTTTTTTTCTCCAAAAACTGCTGAATTATGGACTCATCAGTCTATGGAAAATGCATCTACCGTCTTTTTGTTAATGTCAAATTTTGGACCTCCCTGGTATTTAGTTCGAAAATTTAGTTGGAAAGACCAAATATGTCACTGCATATTTAGCCAATTCAAGGTCTTTCAGATTTAAACTATTCATATTATATTTCAGCCTATATTCTTTGCCTCTTTGCCTTTATTCCAAGGTTCCTTTGAGTAGGTCAAATTTTGAGTTTGTCAAAGAACATGGTTTTTGTTAGAATATTTAAGTGAGTTGGCACATTACAGATAAAAATGTTGTTTGCTTTTATAAAAACGTAGAGAAACCTTTGGTTAAAGATGTGCACAGTAAATGAGCTGACATGCTTCACTTCAGAGAATCGACCAGGCATTCTCTTAACTAAATTAACTGGACAATCATACAGAATGAACTCGGACAGCTATAAAAGGGTGTTTCTTACTTCCTCTGAGTGTTGGGGTCAAAGCAGTACTATAATGTAACTGCAGGATGAAATAAAGGCATTTTAAATCTTAAGCTTCTATCCAGGCTTCATGTTTGTGTGTTCGGTAAACACAGAGCTCCCAGATTTTCATTGTCCAGCTGTTCATGCAACCACAGAGAAGACATAAACTCCATGAAACGGCCAGCGACAGCTTGTGGCATTGTGGACTTATTTCTTTTTATGTTGGCTCAAAGCAGTGCTGGTCTCAAGGGGAGCAGGATGGTAAAGCAGGGCAGGAGAGGTGGTTTGAAAAGATGACAGGAAATAGTTTCCTTGAATCATGTTTTTGAACTCTAGGCTTATAGTAATCGAATTACTTTAGAGTTTTCACCCTTTTACTTTAGAGTCTTTCTTTTTCAAATTCAAGATAAACTAAAATATTCCTGTTATGCTGAATTTAGGTTGTTGAAGCTGAAGTGGACTGGCTGAAGGTGGCAGTCTCCATCAATACATAGCACTTAAATAAAAATCTCCTCACACGACTTGTATACAGTATATATACAGTATATATAAGACATAGGGCAGGTGTGCAAACTGTAATGGATGTACATGCACAAGAGCACCTGGTTTTGGAACATTTTGGGTGGACCAAAGCTAAAATAAACATCTGGCGTCTGGACCGCTGTCTACTGAGGGTTGTGTTCCTGTTGTGTTATGATTGTGTACATCCTGCTATGTTTAACTCAGCAGTCGACAATATGAGTTTACTTTTCTCCCCAGAGTGAAATAATGGAAACCCATGCTGGGTGCTTGTGTGTATGTGTCTCCATGCACTAACCACATTTACAATCAGGGAGTTGGAAGTGTATGTGTGTCGTGAAAGGAAAGGCTGGAGGCTTTCTGTGTGCAAGTGTGTTTCTTTCATTCCCTCCCTTAGCGAATGCCTATTTCTAGATCGGTTGGAGGGTCAAGGTTTGGCCACCGATGGAGAAAAGATGTGTTCCCTTTTAAAAGGGAGAAAAAGCTCTTGCTCTCTCTTAAAAAGAAGCCCAACAACACATCATCCTTTTAAAGCTTTAACCCTCGCTTCACTGTGGAGCTCCTTGCACAGACCCCTCCGAGACCAAAGAACTGACCATTAAGTCACAGTATCAAAATTTGCACTCAAATGCGGCTTTGTTTGTTCAGGCCAGAGGCATTTGTGTGTGTAATTTCAGCGGAGATGAAACAGAGCGATAACCTGTAACCCCTTGCATTGCTCATTATGAAAAGGCTCTCCTGTGGCCCGAAAACTGTTCATCATTATGCACCTTTTTAATTAATACCGATGAAAAACTTTGTATGAGTACCTGCCATTAATCTACCAAAAAGGAGTGTTAGGTTCACATGACTCAATTATTCTAAGGGCTTATAAACAAATGCACCAGCTGGAATACCACTAAAGGGCTTTTACTGCTATTGTTATCTTGAACACAAAATTCTGCTTTAACAGTGAAAACAAAACAAATATGACCTCTGAGATGAGCCTAAATATGGTGGAGAGAGGAAGGGCTTAAATAACTGTAGGAGTGTGTCCAGAATATGCCCATGTTGGCTGTAATTTGTTTTTTAAATTGGAAAGTTAGCCAGGTTCAGATGTAAAATTCGCCACTTAGTTTGTAGAGCAGCACAATCTCATAGAGATGAATGTCCTATTCCACCTTCACACTCAAAGGAAATTGAACCCAAGATAATCCACAGCCAGAAAGAGATGGACAGAGAGCTATTTTGCCTGATGGAGTCTAACTTTCACTGTCCATGTTCATCAATTCAAGGTCAGTTTGAAAAAGAGCCATGATTATTGTTGTGAGAATGCAGAGTAAATCACAGACTAAGAATAATGAATATGACAGATACCATCAACTTTTCAACCTTGTTTGTGCTGCTGGAGTATGCAGCCTAATTTCCCCAATTCCTCTAGCTGGTATCACCTAGCAGATATTGTCAAAATAAATAATGCTGGGTGGCACCAAATTGTCAAAAATCCTGAAAACGCAAAATTCACTCTAATGCAACTCCAAGTCTGTGCTGTTTGGACTGCCTTCATTGGGATGGATTTCCTGGCATTAGTCGATCGAGAATACTGGATAAATTTCAGGAACAACGAAGGTGATGATTCTCAGGCCTTTATTTTATCCCAGAACTGGCTGATTATAATACGATGATGAATTTTAATGGCACATTCAGATGCAGTCTCCGTTCCAACCGAGCTTGCTGCCAGCAAATACGATCGAGGGTCCATTTAATAGAGCAAATTCATAACTCAGTTAGTGATTTGCATTGACTCTGCCGTGATGGATTGAGCCAAAACAACTGTGTGAAAAAGATTACTGCAGGACATCTATTCACAATGTGTCACCTCGTAATTTTAGCGCAGTCGGTGAAAATCTGCTCTCTGCACACGACAGTAACTTTGCGATGGATGAAAGACTTCTACCATCACAAGCACGGATCCTCCAGGCTAGGTTGAAGTCATAACCGAGACTGAAAAATGTTTATGGATTTCTGTGTGTGTGTGTGTGTGTGTGTGTGTGTGTGTGTGCAGTGGGTGGAGGCGATCTGTGATTATTTGGGGAATAAAGAAAGGAGACTGAGGAAGAGAGACCCAGAGAGAGAAGCGGTGAGTCTCTGTGGAGTTGTTTTTGGTCATGGTGCTTGAGCACTCTGATTAATGCTCATAGAGAGACACCAGATGGAAAGAGAGAGAATGAAAGAGTTGAGAGGGAAATTTGGGGAGAAGAGCAGCGTGGAAGAAGATGATCACAGAGAGCGAGAATGAGAGGGAGAGGGGGGAGAGAATGAAAAAGTGACTCTCGCTTTGATTGGTTCATCCAAAGATTAATCAGCTCTTTTAAGCATCATTTGAAGTTTTTTTGTATATCATTATTCATTATAGTGATTTTTAAAAGAGGAGGAAATGGTGTTTGGGTTATACACATTTGACATTCTCCTTCAGCCTTTAAACCTCTTAGTGGATCATGCATGAATGTGACTGACAGCCGAACCAGTAGTGACATGGAGATCAGTGCATTTGCATGTATACAAGACGCTGGATTACTTGGAGAAATAAGGTTGATTAGGCATTAGAATACTATATAAGTCTGCTTTTGTAAATCTTCTTAAACATGCAGCTTAATTGTTTAACCTTTTAGATGTGTTAATGGGAGTTTTTATAGAATAATTCTCCAAGACTGCAAATGATCTTGTTCAACATACATTTTTGCCATCTTTAAAGCAGACTTCTTGTCCAGAGTCTCTCTCAGACTATCCTTATTCCCAAGTTATCAATTAATACATTTTAGAGAGGTCAAAGAAATTAAACAATGGCTACATATACTTGCAGGTTTTAGAGGTAAAAAAAGTACGACACCATGTCAAGTCCAAAGATTACAAAAGTCGCTGATCGGCTATAATTGAATAAAAACCGAGCTTCTTGCAGGGTGATTTCTGACACCTGACAACGAGTTTTTCAGCAGCTGTACTTGTTATTATAGATTCTGTATCACATATCACGCCTTTTCAGTTCAGGATACCAAGATGCGGATAAGTTTTCTCTCCAAATGTCCCGGTTTTAAGGATGATCAAGTCCAAAAATATGACTGAATGTCTTTGGAAAAAAAACATGTAAGAAAAAAACATTCGATTGTATGAGTTTGACCAAAATCTTGGCCACTTCAAACCAGTTCAGAATGTCCCACTGAGGTCTTCCACACATTCTGAGCAAATTAATTGTCTAATAAAACTGTGATTAAATCATGTTTAGCCTTTTAGTTTGATTAATGCAGCTTGCCCTTGTTTGCTCTGACTAAGAATAGCAGGAAGAACAGGTGCAACAATCTGACTATTAATATTTGATCAGAAATTAATGATTTTGCTGTTGGAAGATGCTGAAAAAAATAGGTGTTTCTTTGCATCATCCCTACAATATAAGACATCTCTGTTGTAACATTTCTAGCTTTCTCAAAGAAACAGGATATTTTATTGTTCTTTCTACTTCAATAGACTTCAAATCACATAATTAAAAAATGAAAGAGGGCTGATTTAAAAGTGTTCATTGCACTACCAATTTGGGAGCATTTGGATTTTTCACTAGAATTTGACATTGCTTTAAAGGATCTGAGCAGTGCTTTAGGGGTGATTCTCATAAGAGAATATTAAAAAATCCTAATTTTCTCCCTTAAATGGGTACTGGCCTGAAGAATAATTCTTCATTTTTTAAAATTTCGGTTAAGAGTGATGCTTGAGATGCAAGGGTTTGTGAAAATCATTTTTTGAAGGAGTCAGAGAGATGGGGTGGGTGTTGGAATTTCGTGAGATCAGTAGCAGCAAGAAGATGAGAAAGAGTTTTTGGGCACAGTGGGATTACTCCAAGATGTGGTGAGTGGGAGACAGGGATACAGAAAGACAGTGAGAAGAGAGACACTTTGACAGCATCACGTCTTTTTTATTTGTACTGAAAAATGAGAAGGCATGTCATATTCTTGCTCATTTTATAGCACTGCTGGGTATATATATATATATATATATATGTATATATATATACACACATTTAATGTTCTAATTTAGTGAGAAAATATCACTCCTGCCATAGTGTTCTACCAGGCCAAGACAAACCATCACAAAATGTTATATAAAGAAATATGTAAGTCTAACCTTCAGAGATTCAAATACAATCACAATGTCTGCCATTTTTTGCAGAAATTTTTTGCCATGTCTGCGTAGGTCCTTATTGAAATCCAAGGTTAGTCTCATCATTTTATACCATATTGTTGTTACGTTAATGCAGGATACTCACCATGATAGCTACTATCCGTTAGCCTCATTTGCATGGTTACAAGGTTAAACAAACCTTTCATACTCGTGTTAATGAAGTGCGGCTAGTGCTGCTCTTGACTTCAAAATGTGTTGCTGAAACCAAGCTGACTGTTTATGATTTACTCTATGCATTTATTGGATGTGGTTGGACTTTTTTAAGCACTGTTAATCCAGTCATCCACATACAGTAAACAGCGCATGAACCACCTCCAGATTTTCCCAAATACGGAAAATAAAAGAAAACCCACTACAAGCTGTATTGTGCAGATGTGTAAAGATGTCATGCCCGCTTGGTTTAGAGATGTTTTTTAAATCAATTTTGACAAACAGACTTCAGCCGTAAAGATTTTTTATTACATTTTCTTGATAGACTCTATATAAGATTTAAAATGTCTGTATCAGACATGTTTGATTTTCTTCAGACTATATTGAGCTGCCTATCTTATTCCAAGTCCGATCTTGTGTATTAATCCGATTCTACAGAGAATTCATGGCTTTTGAGTCTATAGATATTACTGACTACTCCATACTATTTTCTTCTACCTGTGTCACTTGGTAGCCATTTTTTGGCACAGATACACAAAAACAACCACAATTACAGACGAGTAATGTTCTTCCTAAAATATGCATAAACAAAAAAATATAGCTTCCTCAGCATTTTATTTGTGCATTGTTCCCGGGCACTATTCCACAGTATTTCCATGCAAGGATGCATCTTGCGCTGAAAATATCTTGCTGCTTTGTTCATGTGTGAAAACAGCTTAAAGACCTCTTTGATTATTCTTCACACAACTACCTGCCCTACTTCTGCTCCAACATTCACATTTTTACGCTCAAAAGGACGGTGAACAACTGTGAAGGAATTCAAAGGACTTTTCCCACAATCTTTGGATTTCTTGGCTTTCTCATGTTTGCAGTAGTTATTCGGTGAGAACTTTGTGTGCTCAGGCTTCTCTTTGTCGACTTTGATTTTGTTTACATGTCAGTGTTTAGTTCTGTATAAACATGCTCAAAATTTGTGTGTGCCCCTGCAAACACTCTATGTATCTTAATTGGACTCCATTCAAGTGTTTAATTACTCATTAGAGATCCCGCAAAGCAATCCATACACCAGCTTTGCTCGTTCACTCCCTCTGCCCTGTGGGACTTCCCTCCCACGGAGGCTCAAACGTTTTGACCCAAACTACATGGATTAGTTCACCTTGTCGATCCGGATCAGCCCGTTCATATTAGATGAAGATCCTAAAGCCGGTAGGTGTTCGCAAAAGGAGAGATGCAGTTTAAATGTCAGTCAGTTTGACACCGTGCCAGTTTATTCATGTGTAAGATCAGTCCTCAGTATTTCCCACACTGATGCAGGTGGCCAGTTAATGAGCCAGTCAGTCAGCGGGCAAACGAGGCAGACAGTCCCTTAACAGACTCACATCAGATGTATCATCATGTTGTCACTGTCTCTGTTCAGCTTTTGATCAGAGGGATAAAAACAGGGTGGAAAAGTCCTGTAAACACTGTTTTGAAACGGTGCCAGTGCTCAACGAGTACAGATTGAATACAGAAAGTACAGGATTGTGATGTTGTCTTAAAACTGGAATCAAAACAAGTGCTTTAATGAATTGATTCGTAACAGTTCCTCGGGTGAATAGGTCATAAATGCATTGAAACATTTTGATTTAGTTTTACAGGCCAGCAAAGTCGACAGTCCAGGTAGGGGCAGGGCATTTTGAGGGACTAAAACTCCTTCCATTCATGGCCAAGTGATAGCCAAAATTGTCTCCCTAAATAATTGAACCTGCATCATATATTCTAGATAATAAACCATCAAACCCTTTTCTCCTCTTTACACTTGACATTTCCTCAGGTTGGGAGATTCTCATCAGCGTCCTTGGACACCAGCCATAAGCCTCCTTATTCTCATGTCGCTTTTAACCAAACGTTGTCGATACCAGTACGGCCCCGTAGCTATTTATGCAGCCGACAGAGCTCCATCCGGACTCCTGGTGAATCCCCCCTGCAAAACAAAGAGATTGATATAGGCATATCTCGCACTCAGTCTGTCAGCTTGTCAGATGCACCACTCAGTCAGGCGCTCATCTCCTCCGCCTAACCGCCTCCACCTGCATGTCCACCCATCAGTGTCTTTGTCGCTCTATCTCCCTCTGTCTGTCTGCCTTTTCTTTGTCTGTGTGTCTACTACACTACCACCCAGTAGACGATTATGTTCCCAGGGTGGTCTACAGACTTTTTTTTATTTCGCGAACAGTTTTGTTTTGTTAATTCTAGTCTATTCTATCTATATCTGTTGGGTTGTGTATGGCTATGGTGAGGGTGTTTGTGTCTGACAGTGTATATACGTGTCCGTACAGTACATGTTGGAATTTTGTCAAGAACTGCCACAGACTGTGCTGAATTCATAGAGGGTCCATGTTCCCCCATCTTGCAGGAATACATAATAACCTTTCAGAAATGCTGAATGTCACCACAGTGATCTATGGGTGACATAACTCACAGTGGCAGAAGTGGAACTTGTCGAAACAGCGCCTGGGCTCGGAGTTGTGTATTGGCTGTGGCTTTTTGAGGGTTTCTTCTGATGCCTGCTTTAGAAGGCACATACGTATCATGATATGGAGCGCTGTTGTATATTTGTGATTTTTCTTCTTTTGTTTTGATCCCTCACTTTAACACAGAAGTTTGGATTAAGGGCTGGTTTACTTTGTTCAACACCTACATCTGTGCTAACAATCCTGCATTTCGCTACCTTGTATTTATACATGTAATTTGGCTCTGGCCTGTACCGCATGTGTCTATTGATTCCAGGATTTATCACATCTGTTAACATGTCTCAGTGCATGGCATTTCACTTTTTTATATATATCCTCCTGAGACCCAAAGAAAAAAAGTGTCTTCAAATGTATTTTTTGTTGTGATTTTCCATGTATTTGGACCTAAAAAAGAACATTACAATTTAAATGTAAAAAAATATATTTTTAATTTTAATTTTTATAGCATGTCCACTGTGGAGGACAACAGGACGATTTGCATGGGAAAATAGAACAGGCTTTAGATAATTAAATAATAAAAAAGAAGATGTCTTGAAAGGGATATTTACCTAAGAACTCTTAGGAAAAAAGTAAAGTTCCCAGCATGCAAACCTATCACATGGCACATCACTGGAAAGCCCAGGATGTCCTCTACAGAACACTATAGGGCTTGATCGGGTAACTCCAGATACTTAGGAGGGGTACAGGTGGACAAAATGTCCACTATAATGGACATAAATGAATGGGCCGGGTCTCAGGAGAATAAATTAATGTATATGTGTGTATGCATACATTTCTGTGTCATTTATTCTTTCCCACATACCAAAGCGTCAGTTGAAATGCTGCAGGAGGTACTGTGAGAGAAAAGAAAAGACTATATCTTACGGGTAGAAAAGTTTAGCCTAAAAGAAGGAGTGCGTGTGTTTGTGCGGAACAGTCAATTTGAACATTCCAACAGTGCAATCAGCAACGCAAGAGCCTGTTGGGAAGAAGGGAAATACATTGATGAGGGGAGGAAGTTATGGTAGAGAGAACAGGAGAGGGAAATAAGAGGGGGCAATGGGAGTCATGAAAACTGAAAGTTGGATATTGTGAGGAAGTTTCCAGACAATCATGAAGTTAAAGTAAAGAAAAAAAATAAGGGAGTTATAGAGATTCATGCGGGTGGAGATTAAGGTTGCAGGTTAAAGAAAAGTCGCCAACGATGGAGTGAGACGGAACCAGATGAAGATGGAGGGAAAGGAATGGATAGTAAAGAGGGGCTAATTTGTGAGAGTGACTGAAGCTTCTGAGCAGCAGACGGAGATGGCAATGCAGCTGAGGCTGCTTACAGACACACAACATGGAACAGTCTGCAGTGAAAAGCTGCCAAAAGAGCAAATGGGGAGAAATTGCTCATGTTTTGTGTGTTTTCTTCTTCTTTATATCTTAATTTGACCAGCAGAGACTGGAATTTGTCAAAGTATGTGATATATTCTAGTTGTGTGTACGTGTATGTGTGCGTGCGTGTGTGTGTGCAGCTGAGAGAAAAGGAAAAAATGTTCTTCATTGACAGAGACAGAATGATGATCAACTTGTTCTGAGCTTGCAGAACGTATTACCCACTGCGACTATAAGCTGGCAATGTTTGTCGAAGTTTTTGCCCTCAACTAGACGTGCGAAGATGAATGGGGTGTGTAAAAGATTGAAAATCGATCCACATCTCACTCATCCAGCTGTCCTTGACTGCTTTACCACAAAAACTTGGTGAAGTGTTGAAGAACCAAGCTATATATTTTTTGCCTTTCTTGGCTCTCAACTCAAGCTCATACTATTCCCAGGGTCAAAGTGTTGTTGAGGTATCAGAGATGTGTTCTTTGAAGCTGTGGTGCTCTGGTTTGTGGACACATGGGGATGACAAATGGAAAGGTTTTCTATTAATGATTGGAATTATTTTGGCATAATGAGGTATGTCTGTCATGAGACCATTTTTTCACTTTATCTCCATGGCACACCAGACATCACGCCCCTTTTTTCTGAATTGAT